GATTTACAGAGAGCTTCCATCTATTAATGGTCTTGGAAATTTGACACCCTCAGAATAAAAGCTATGATATTTGTCACTGTAGGATTGGAAATGCCGGAACATGAGACCTATCTGAAAGCAATGGCACTACAAGGTCTTTTCCTTTGCTGTTGGATGCTTATTGCAGGATTCACTGCCACTGAGAGCTGAAGAATGAAAGCAGCCAAGTTCTGGATCATTGGTGTCTAGAGCCCACAGGGGACCCTGTAATAGAAGTGAATAAAATCAGAAGATGAATAATAATCCTTTAGTACTCATACCTTAGATTTATGAGATTCTGGGCTTAGCCACAATGCCTTTGTCACTCAGAAGATTGGCATGGCAAATTCTGAGACCTTCTGCTCATTTGTTAATTATATCTATCTAGGGAGAGTCATATGATTCTAAATCTCTGATTGGTAACAGTAAGACTCCTTACAACTATGGAAATCTGTAGCTGTTTCCTTCTACAACGATTTACAAAGAAGTATTCACTGAGAATAGATACCTAAATTACCTATTTTCTTCACAGACATAATGATACTCTTTATTTAGACCTGCCAAAAATGATATAATGTTAACTTGATGAATTTTTAACTGGTTCTATTTATTTGCTCTTCAGGGTCTTTGAAATTCCTAGTAAGTTAATGGTGAACAGATTCTGGAGATGTTGTATTGGGAATACACTGATCATCTTCATCATGCTTAAATTATTTTGAAATTTTTAAAGGGTCATTCAATTTTATTGATTTTGTTTATTTGCTGATCCTTTTAGGTGGGGTTTAAACTCAGGACAATGCTCTTGGTAGGAAGAGTGTCTGCAGCTTGATCCCCACCAAAAACATTTTTTGTTACTTCGGTTTGTACTGTTCATTTTGTTATTTTTTTTCAAATGGTTTCTTTTGACTTGAGCTAGTCTGGACCACGATTCTCCTATTTCTCTTTTCTGTGGAACTAGAAAGATAGACACATGCTATTACAGTCAACTATTTAATGATCAAAATGGAATCTCCGGATATTTTTTTTGATCAACCTGATCTCAAACTATGACCTTCATGATATATCACCCTTAGCGTTATGACTACTGTAGACATGAGTCACAGAACACACAGGAAAATTATATTACTCATTAAAATATGATTACAACTAACGCTATGCAGTGATAAAACAAGTAAAGTAATAATGAATAATAAAGTAAGTATGAGAGAACATCTTTACATTTTACAATACGCATAGTTTCAGAAGATGTATAACTGAAAGATTATCACAATTCTAAAAATATTACAATACATCATATATTCAATTATAGTTTAGGATGTGTTCTGCTATCCTTAATGCTTTGCGAACGTAAATGTAAAAAAGAACCTTCTCAGGCAGCCATAACACATTCATATGCTCCAAGTCATTACATTAGTATTAAAATAAGGATACCTTCTGAGAGTATTCTTGAACTTATTGGAATACACATATTAGTATATACTTAAAGGATAGAACACAAAGCCCTTTACTAATAAATATGCAGGATTACAATTATTGAAAGATGGGCTGGGAAAGTGGTTCAGTGGTAGAACACTTGCCTTGCATGCATGAGGCCCTGGGTTCGGTTCCAAATAAGCAAAATGAAAAAAGCCAGAAGTGGCACTGTGGTTCAAGTGGTAGAGCACTAGCCTTGAGCTGAAGAGCTCAGGGACAGTGCCCAGGCCCAGAGTTCAGGTCCCACGACCGGACCCAAAAAGAAATAAAAAATACTAATTATTTAAAGATGAGTAGGTTCTGTGGTTATAAAAGTGCCTAGAAATAATTGGCATTCTTACACATAAAGAAAATACCAATTAAAATACCTGACTCTTATGCATCGAACTAACCATAGTAACAAAGCTGAGGAAGAGCCAGGGATAATATAACCTTTGAAACTCTGGGGTTGGGAACCAAACATCACAGAAGGGAAAGCAGCGTGTCAGATTCCTAGATACATTCCTACATCTGTAAATTATTCAAAGCTGAGTTTGATTGGTGTAAGCTTCTAGTAATTGGAAGAACTGTATGAGGATGGAAAGTTCTTGGACAGTCTGGGTAACAGGAAGACTACAGTAAAAGAAACCCCCAAAATTTACTCAGTATTCCAGGTACCATTGTGAAAATTATTTTTATAATATTTTCATGTGATAGATCTAATTTTAAAAATTTCATCATGTTAACTAGTGGAAATATGAAATCTCTTTTCAGTCTGATTTGAGACAACTGTCTTAAGCTACACAGTGAGTGTCATTGCAGTAACAAAGTCTTCTCTAGTGAGCATGAATTTCTCTACATAGAGCCTATATTCATATTGCAAAATTGGCTCTCAAATACTTACTTCATGATGAGGATGCTTTAGTCTACCAAATTTTATGATAAACATTCCTCATTGTCTCTTTTTGTAGAGTCAAACAAAGTTTTAAACCACAATTATAAAATCTTCATTCTATCATTTACTAACATAATTGTTCCTTTAGTCTACTCAGAGATTATAGAAATTTAAAGATGATCATTATTATTTCCCTATCAGCTACAAACTGTCACTTTATTTATGATACATGGTAAATATAAAATAAAAAATTAGAATGGATTCAGGATTTAACACCGCAAGTTCCTTGGTAAAACTAACTGTATTTGAATGCTGTTGGGAAATACACATCTCCTTGATCCTGTTAAAGATCACTAGGTCAAAATATTTTGTCTGTTCGAATAAAAATAACAGAAACACAGATTCCACTCACCGAAATACAGGGGCAGCTGACTGAGGCATCTACTGAAGATTAGTAAGATTGGTAAGATTAGTAACCTCCAAAACTGTCCCTGTTTATTGTGAAAGTAAAAGTAAAATCTCTAAACCAGTGGAAGCAACAGTAGACTCAGGTGACTATTTCATATGATATACATTTTCAGCCTAATGATGCAATTCAAACAAACTAGTCAAATGATTAAAAATGATTTAAAAAAATGAAAAGGAAAGGAAATACTGGTATGAACCTTTGTCATAAATATAAATTATCATAACCTCTGGGGATGTGAAAACCAGGGAATATCACTGAAAATTGTCAAAGGCAACAGTTTTGTGCAATTAGATATACCAGAGTCCCAGGGGACAACTTAGTTTTGCAGAACTTCCCCAAAGCCCTGGAGCATTTGGGTGATCAACTCCACTCATTAACCAAAATTATGAGATGTAGTTGTCCAAAAGGAAAAGTAAGCTATTAAAATAGTCTCCATTGAGCCAGGTGCCTGTGGCTCAAGCCTGTAACCCTAGGTACTTAGGACTCTGAGATCTGAGGATTGAGGTTCAAAACACACCCAGGCAGTGAAGCCATGAGACTCTTTTATCCAATTAAGTATCATTAAAAGAGAAATGGTAGGGCTGGGACGGTGGCTCAGTGGTAGAGCGTTTGCCTTGCATGCATGAGGCCCGGGGGGGGGGGGGCGGGGTTCGACTCCTCAGTACCACATAAGCAGGGGAAAAAAAGCCGGAAGTGGCACCATAGCTCAAGTGTTAGAGTGCTAGCCTTGAGCTGAAGAGCTGAGGGACAGTGCCAAGGCCCAGAGTTCAGTCCCCACAACCAGACCCCCCTGCCACAAAAAGACAGACAGAAATAGTAACATAGCTCAAATTGTTAGAGTGCAAACGCAGAGCAGGAAAGCTCAGGGACAGCCTGAGTTCAGGCTCAACATCTGAAAAACTATGTAATTATCTATCTATCTATCCATCTATCTATCTATCTATCTATATTATATGATGTAGAATATATACACATTTGTTTTATACACAAGATATGTATGATATATGTATGATAAACACATATATTGTACACATATGATACATATTAAGTATGTTATAAGATGTTATAATATAATAAATATTTTACATATAAATATATAATTCATATAAGATATTTGTAACCTGCTGAGTGCTAGAGTTCAGGGGTTGATATCACTATTAATTGTATTCATATTGAAAATTTTTGCCTATATTGCCACAATATATATAACTGCAATTTTTAAAAATGCAATACTAAATTTTGCATAGTATATATAAAAATATTCTGAAACTATATTACCATATTTATTTATATCTTAGAGAATAACCTATATTTTAGATTTTGACATTATATTGAGAATTGGATTTTCTAACAGAACCCTAGCTCCAACCCTAGTATACCCATTTCAGTATGGGTTTCTACCCAGATCAGGAAAATTTCTCTTTTTCCAGGTCCATATGTTCCCCAGATATTAGCAGTTGTGTGTGACGGGCTGAGGATGGCCACTATCTTGATGTTTAGTGCCAAAATATTCACTTTTGCCATAGGTTAAGAGAACTAAATAGTGAATCTCTTTTGAATAATTGGAAGACTGCAGAGAAAAAATTAAAAAAATAGCAAACATGAATTTCCCAGCCTGAATTGCTATATTCTACTGTCATTGAGGAAACTATATGAAATAAAATTGATTTGCTGTATTATTTTCTTGAGAATAAAAATGAACCTAAAATTATATAAATAAAATATTCAAAGAAAATATAAATGATTGACACATAGCTACATTGGCACAAATGGCAAAACTAAAATCATGAATACATACTTGCAAAGTATACAACATATATTTGTGCATACAAAAGACTTCAAACAAAGCCAAAAAAAAGAAAAACCTATACAACTGGGTATCCTGCGGTAGATTACCCAGCTATGTGCAATTAAATGCAATCATATTGAGAAGTTGAGCTCAAGCTCTTATATTAAAAAAGGAAGAAAAGTATATTAACATAAAACTTCATGTGAAATTAGATGAATCAAAAACTTAGTTTAAATGCCCTGAGATTACACTTGTAAAAATATTTACAAAATAGAGGCCATATTTTTTTAATACTAGAAGGAAGTTACATAACTAGGCAAAGTGAAGGAATAGAATACAATTGTATATTCATTTGTGATTCAATCAGAGCATCAGACTCAACTTTGATGACATATTGATTGGGAAGTGATTAGCCTCCTGGCTGCCTGCTTCACATCTTTGTTCCTGAGACTGTAAATCAGTGGATTCAGCATAGGGACTACCACGGTGTAGAAGATAGAGGCAATCTTCACCAACAACCATGAGCTTTTGGTGGTAGGAACACAGTAGAGGAAAAGGATGGGGCCATGGAAAATAGCAATGGCGGTGAGGTGGGAAGCACAGGTGGAGAATGCTTTGTAGCGCCCAGCAGTGGAGGGCATTCTCATGACAGTGACAAAAATGAATACATAGGAGGTAAAAATAATCACTAGACTGAGTATTTCATTGATTATAGCAAAGATCACAATAGACAATTGACTTACAGAAGGGTCCGAGCAGGACACAGCAACAATGGCAGAATGCTCACAGAGAAAGTTGTTTATAACCTTTGTCCCACAGAAATTCAAAGTTAACAAAAAGTATACGAATACAAAAGACCACCAAATACCCCAAAAGTAGGAGGCAGCCACCAACAAGGAACAAATCTTTGGGGACATGACCACTGTATAGAGGAGAGGGTTACAAACAGCCACAAATCGGTCATAAGCCATGGCTGCCAGCATGATGGTTTCCGTTATTGCACAGACACATGCTAAAAAGAACTGGCTGATACAGCCTGCAAAGGAGATGCTTCTGTCCTCCACAAGCAGGTTCTCCAGGAGCTTGGGGGTGATCACAGAAGAGTAGCAGAAATCCACCAAGGACAAGTGACTGAGGAAAAAGTACATGGGGGTGTGGAGCTTGGGATTGAGTCTGATGATGGTTATCATGCCCAGGTTGCCCAGCACAGTGATGGTGTAGATGGTGAGGAAAACCAGGAAGAGTGGCACTTGGAGGTCTGGATATTCCGAGAAGCCCAGGAGGATGAAGCTCACCCCAGCAGTCTGATTCTGTGTGATCCTATGGACAAAATTCAACACTCGATATAGTGAGATCAAAACTAGTGTTATTCATAGAGAAGGTAGAGGTAGAAGTGAGATACTGGAGTCAGGTATCGAGTGTTGGTGAATAAACCAGATCCCTGTGGCTCCATTAGTCAGCTGTAGAAATTGATTTTGGTATCTTTTACAAACTGAATGGCAAGGACTTGTTTCAGTTACTGAAACAAAACTAAACCTTGTAAAACAGAAGAACAGCATATGCTACACTCAATTTTATAGAATATATTATAATCTCTCCTGAATTAAACTTATCTCTTTCCCTGTTGAATGAGATAAAACTATTGGTAAAGCATTGTTACGTACTGTTAAATCCTGGTTAACCTTTATGTGATGCTTATGAAAAGAACCTCTTACTGTTATTCTTGTAAATTAGGAACAGTTTTGAGAACAAGTTGTTTTTTTTTAACTACTTGATGTCTTTTAGAACTTTTTCTGGAGGCCTGACTACATGAAGCAAAAACTATCTATCCCAGCAGTCAATTTTCTACCATTGGCCAGTCTAGCCACATTTATCAGCCCATGAGAACATAAGGAAGCTAATCAGTAATCATAGGTGTCTGCTGTCAGAGCACAGCTCTGGCTCCTACAGGCTTTGTGCAGGCAATTATTCTTAACAAATAAACTGCAGTAGATCTTCACCTAGTGGATAGATCCAGATGACCCTGGAAGTGCAGGGGTAGCACTTCCCCTGGTGGCCAAGTTGAAATCCTATGATTGGTGGAAGAACAGTGCTTCAACTGCTTGAGAAAAAATGGTGACTTGAACAAATATGGAACTTCGAGCACTTGAGGGACTATGTGATGAGGAATACCAATACTATCCTTCATCTATATAAGGCATTACCTTATTTTAACTGAATGCAGACACCCTGCCCACATTCCATTGATGGCCATGTAAGTAGCCAGTTAAGCTTATTCTGAGAGCAACTTTGGACAAACCTATCATTGCTATGGTCGCAATATTAGGTTCACTCAAAGAGTATTTCTGAATGTTCTTTTTTCTCCTGCTTTACATCTTTATAAGTATTAGAGTAGGATGATTATGTAAACACATAGAAATGATGGAAGAAAAGGCAGAAAGACTAGAGCAGCCCTGGAAACAAGTCTAGCAGTAATGAGAAGGCAGTTAGAGAGCTCAGGAGAAGGGTCATTCTTGAAATCATGGGGGCAGCAATGATGGAGACAATGAAGGCTGTGGATAGCTGAAGACAAGAAATTATAGGCTCTGGTTACTGGAAAATTTACAAAGAGCATCCAGGTGTTAATGGTCTTGGAAATCAGACACCTTCATCCTAAGAGCTCTGATATTTGTCCCTGTAGGATTGGAAATGCCAGCACTTGAGGCCTATCCAAGAACAAGGGCACTATAACATTCTTTCCATAGCTGTTGGCTGATTATTGCAGGGTTCATTACTACTGAGATCTGAGGAATTAAAGCACCCAAGTTCTGGGTCATGGGTGGCTAGAGCCCACAGGGGATCCCCTAACCTATATGAACAGAATCAGAACATGAAGCCCAGGGCAATAATCCTTTAGTACTCATATCTTGGAGTTACCTATCTTGGGCCTATCCACAATGCCTTTGTCACTGAAAAGAATGGGATGGCAAGATCTTGAAGAACTCCTGCCCTTTACTCATAATTCCTATCTAGGGAGAGTCACAGGATTCTAGAACTCTGATTGGTAACCGTAAGACTCACTACAGCCATAGAAACCTGGCTTCTCGAGAAAAGACTCTGTAACTATTTCCTTCAACCTGTATTTACTAATCAGTATTCACTGGTAGGAGATTCCTAAATCTCCTATTTTCTTCACAGACATTATGATCCTATCTAGTTCGACCTGCCAAAAACAATATGATGTTAACTTGCTTTAAATCCTGAGTTTTTAATT